GAGATAAGAGAGAGAAGGATCAGAAAAGGCAAACAAGAAGTCTTAAAGAAAAGAATCCAGTCCTCTTCTCATCCTTATTTCTTAAAGAGTCAGAAAGGGAGCTTTCTGACCCAAGGGCTCAGCTCCTTGCTTTAAAGGTGAGGGAGGGGCCCATAGAGGTGGGTCGTGGGCAGGTCTCTTCACCAGCCTCCTCCTCTGCTCCATGCTGTCCTTACCTGTCCGTTCAAACCCATGACCCTCATGCCCGTAACTACGCTACTACTACTCCTCTACTCACGGCCTCTGAGGCTGATTCAACACACAGCTGACTCCCTGAGGCTTCCGAGGCTGTAAGTCACTGACGAGATGATTGTTCATCTTTCTCCTGAGGAACAGCTGGTACGGAGGCCCAGCCCTTGGTCAGCTGAAAAGTCGAGGCCTATACACCACCAGAGCGTCCTTGACTGTCGTTGGTGTTGCTGTCCTGCGCCATCAAGTCAGAACTGACTCAGCTGACCTTCCAGAGGGTTTGCAGTGACAGTAAATGGCACGGGAAGGGATTGTCCATCCTTCTGCAGTAATTGTTGTTGGAAGCAGTCAAGTCACTGTAATTCAGTGACCCTCGGAACCTTGCACTATCCTGTGCCTCTGTTAAGATCTCCATTCACACTCAAGTTGGCATTTGTCATCTTTGGGTAACTCAGAGGATGAATGGGAGTAGTCTGCTTTGGAAAGCTCACCCTGCCCTTTCTGGGCTCATCCATTTCTCACTCAGCTTACTCTTCAGGCCCTGTAGTTGGGCCAAGAGCTCCATCCGGAAAGGAGGCCCTGTGGGAACGTTTCAGGATGTGGACCCTGGTGAAAAGGCCAAGTTTCCCAGCCAGAGAGACCTGGATTTACAGCCCAAACTGTATCTTGTGCAACCTTCAGAAAGTTATGCTTCTCTGTAAAATGGGGCCATTACTTTCCTTGAAGTTTTTTGCCGTTATTTTTTGTTGTTAGGTGCTATCTTGTGATCCCATGTGCAGCAGCTAAGAACTTCATACTATCCTCAGGCAATCTCACCGTTTCCCCCACACAACAGCCCCTACTGCCCAAGTCACTGTGTCAATCCATCTCACCCAGGGTCCTCCTCTCTCCTGAGTTGTCCCTCCACCCTTCCAAGCATGCTGCCCTTCTCCAAGGACTGGTCCCTCCTGGAAACATGCCCAAAGTATGTGAGACGGAGCTTCAAAATCCTTGCCTCCAGAGAGCAACGTGGTTTCACCCTCTCCAGGACGGGCCTGTTTGTTCTTCTGGCAGTTCATGGTATGTTCAATCTCTTCTCTAGCACCACAACTAAAGGCATCAGTTCTTCTTCTGTCATTCACTTTTTTGCAGGTGTACAAAATTCCAAGTTTTGACACACACAGGGATTTGTAGATCTACCTCCAAGAACAGAAAACAGAAACAGGTCTACCCCTAAAACAGCCCTTCAGACTTTGTAGCAAACCACCCACTGCTCCACTCCTGGCAAGCCCTAATCTGTTCCTATCTCTATCACTTTTCACTCTCTAGTTGTTTGGAGTTTTTTATAAATGAAATGGGATTATGTCAGGGGTGATAATTTCATCATCTCCGGCACTCTGTGTCTGCCTGCCTGTGGTGGCCTCTGAACCCCACAGATTTGAACTTTGCTGCTGCTCCACTTAAATTCTGAGGTCGAGGGTCAGCAAATGAGAAGAAGAGCCTCAACCAGATGGACTGACATAGATGACGAAGTTGGCACAGGAGAACAGGACAAGGTTCAGGTCTGCTGTTCAGAGTCGCTGAGTCCTACCAGACTCAACAGCACCTAACAACAGCATCTGAGCTCAAGGGTTGCAAGTTCTGCTTAAAATGCCACTTGGCACCTGTCATATCTGATGAATTTTGTACTCCATGGAAAAATGACGGAATTTTCAACTGCAGTTGCACAGACAACAGACTTGGCCAAGCTCACTAGGGAATGTGACGGTTCCAGGCGACTGCTGGAGAACTAGATCACATTTCCCTCCACTATTGTGACTCCTCTCCCCGTCTGGTTACTTCTATCAATCACTAACTGGTCCCCTCCCTCAGCTAACTGAAATCCCAGCCCAGAATACATCCATGTTCCCAATGTTTTCCATTCCCAATGGAGCACGTGCAGAGAAACAGAACTACTGGGACCCTGGATGCTGTCATCCAGCCAAATGAACATAGCAGTAAGAAGTCTTCGCTCCCGTAACCCACACAGAATGACCTAGAGTGGCCTGAGGATGCCAGGCTGGGGGGAAGGGACCCGGCTTTGCCAACCAGGCCAGGTACAGAGGACAGTGACCAGCAGAAAGCCTGCACATGGCAGAACACTGCACAGTGGTGAGAACAGGAGGGCGTGGGAGAGAACATCACTCGGCCAAAAACAATGAGCATTGCCCAGCCAGCGGACTGGCCTCCCTTCATTCATGGGGGGACCTCTTCCACTTCACCTCGACTGCCTACTCCAGCAGCACTGACAGCATTAACAAATGGCAAGCTGGCCTCTGGAGGAAATGGAGGCATCTTTGCTGCAGCTGGCCCTGTGACCTGGACACCTTCATCTTCAGTTTCTCCACCAAAAAGATATATTGCACAAAGGTGGCCTCCCTATTTCCTTCCTAAAACTTCACTATTCCAGGTCAACACACTTCCCTGTGGTTCCTTTCTCCATGTTGCTTATTTCTCCTCCCCTTCCTGATTTCTGCACACTCAGGGTCCCAGAGGGAGCGCTGGTGGACTATTCCATAGTCAGGATGTACCGCACTATGCCAGAGGCGATGGTTCAAATCCACCAGTCAGTCCACAGAAGGGGAATCTCTTCCCATGCAATTTACAGCCTCTGAAAACACGCTGGGGGATCACCTATGGGCAAATTCCAACTCGATGAAAATGGGTGGGATGCGTGATTTTTTATGGAGCGTCTCAGGAGCCTCACCCTCCCACAATGCTCTGCACCAGATCTCGCAATGTCAGCACAACTATCTGGACCAGATAATTCTGCAGTGAGGAGGCCATCCTGTGCACTGAGCTTCTATATTACCAGATGCTCTAACATCACTGCAAAAACCATTTCCAGACCCAGTGTTGCTGCTGCCCCCCATCCCTGCAAAATCACCCCCCACAATGCTCTGCACCAGATCTCGCAATGTCAGCACAACTTTCTGGACCAGATAATTCTGCAGTGAGGAGGCCATCCTGTGCACTGAACACAGGATGCTCTAACATCACTGCAAAAACCATTTCCAGACCCAGTGTTGCTGCTGCCCCCCATCCCTGCAAAATCACCCCCACTTCCAGGCTACTGACAACCATCACTGTGAACCAAGCAAGGGTCTGATCAGCATGGCCAGAACTCTCCCTTCAGCTGGGATCTGGCGGCAGATGTGTTCACGCCTCCAGGTGCTCACCAGACCTACGGTCTACCAGCCACCTCAAACATGCCTGAGACTCTAAAGTTGACATCTCGACCCCTGAATGTCCTACCACATGGAAATATACCAGCACAAACCCCCAAACAGCAACTAAAACCACTGAATCTTGGTGTTCTCTGAGTACTTCCCAATTACCTCTCATAGACCATGTCCAATCCTGCAGGCTCCACTTTCTAGAAATCAACCATCCAGTTACCATCACAACCTAGGTAGGCCACTCTCCACTAACTGTTCTTTCTTCCTCTATCCTCATCACAGAGTGAGAGAGATCAGGGCTTCTCAGTCCTGGTACTGAGACTGTCCTGTGTCCAGGAGGATGGACAGTCAGCAGTATCCTTGGCCTCTACCCACGAGACACCACAGGACACCAGTGTGGTCATTCTATTAAGTCTGTCCACACCCTCTAGTCCTCAAATCCTTCTGTGGCCCTCTACCCCAAGCCCTGATACCTGGCCTCATCTCCCAGCCCTCCATAGCGCCCACCTGGGCAGTGTTCTACCTATGTAACACACCAAATTCATTCACATCCAGGAGTCTTTCAACTTCTTAGTTCTTCTTCCAGGTACTGGTTATGTATCAAGCCTCTGGGTAACATGCAGATCCCTGATCAAACATCTCATCTTCAAAAGGGACCCTCCCTGCTCAGCCTCCACCTCCACCTCCACCTGTCCTTCCATCACCAATCCCATCACCTGCACAGCATCAAGCAAGGTGTGAACTGCGCAGACAATTAGCCTCGATCATGTGACCCCAAGCTCAAGAAGAGAAGGCTTCTCCGATGTTCACTCCTCTACAACCAGCATTTCACCTAAAACTGCTCACAGCACATCACAGCCGGGTGAGAAAAACTGGAGACCCTGGGAAACACCATCAACAATAACTGTATGTGTGGTCATTTAACATCTGCAGTGCTGGTATTTGAAGAAGACTTTAACCTATGGTGCTATTTATTTCTCCAACTACCAAGTAAACTCAAAAGATGTAAAAAAATTTTTCACTCAGGCTTTGAAGCCCAGCATCTAAAGAGAAAGAGAGATTTTAGAAAACTACAGCAAAGTATACTACAAATAAGAAGCAAAATGCTGATTCATGTGACTTTTTTCATTACATATGTATAATACACGCATACTGCTTTTTACTGTGTTTCACAGATACTGCCTTCTTTTAACACAGCAAAGGTCTGCGGCAAAGCTGTATCAAGCAAACCTACCGATGCCACTTTGTCAACAGCTAGGCTCAAGTCATTTCTCTGTGTCCTGTTTTGATTAACCTCCCAGTACTTCAAACTTTGAAAGAAGAGCATCGCACATTCAACTGACTGCAATCAATGTGATCAGTGCTGCAGACCAACAAGCCCCAGGAAATAATTGCTTACTTGTTCCCCACAATCCTCTCCTCACTTTCATCCAACTGTACTTTAAAATGTTGGCACAGAGGAAGAAGTTCAAGCTCAAAAACCACCCCTGAGGGGATGGGAAAAGAGGGCACTACAACTAGCAGACATATTCATAGTTACCACAAAAAGATACGTCCCAAACGACTGTAACTGACCAAGGTTAAGATTCAGTATGCTGCCGGTGGTGGTGGTGGTGGACGTCTTGTCGGCTTTTGTGACCGGTGCTGATGGCTGTGGGGAGAATGGTTTCGGGCTGCCAGATAAACTCCCTGGCTGGCCTGTCTTGGTGGAGGCTGGGGAAGCTGAGGGGGAAAAAACAACAGGTAACTGTTAGATGGCAAACCAACAAAAATCTGTGAAATTATGTTATAATCTTACATTATGAGCAATAACACACATTACATATGGACACATAGGCAGATAGGCAAGACTAAGCCATGCAGGCAATCCATGACCGTATGCAGGTTTGGCAAATGGGATTTCTACACTTATATCAGTTTACGCTATCAGTAATCAAGTCAATAAGGAATCAGGCCCACAGAAGACAAAGCTGTGTAAATTTCTTAACTACACAGAAACACCTAAAAGGAATGAGTTGCTCATCACAGCTCTCTACACCACAGGTGAGGGCGAACTCAAGGTCAATGGTACCAAAGTCAATACTCTATATCCTATTTTGGCAAAGAGGGTCCTTAAAAGCTGATAATGGCATCAAAGGGCCAGCCACTGGCCTCTCCTTGTCTGAAACAAAGACAAGATGGGGGGAAGAAGCAAATATATACAGAAATAAATACCCCAAAGGACAAGACCAGTCATACACACTTCCACCTCTAATATCTTAAGACCAGAAGACCTAGGTGGTGCCTGACTCCCTCCGTGTCCTTACACTGTGGGTTTTATAATCAAAACAAAATGTTTTATTAGGTTAAACAGAAAAAGCAACATGTTCTGTCAACTTTCACCCAAAACCAAAAAACATAGCCAAATCCTTTGCAGAGAGAACAAAATACACCCAACAACTCAATTCAAAAAACAGCTGTTAGTCTAATAATTAAAGAATATTTCTTTTACTTTTCAAAGAAAAGAGTCAATTGGGAGGGAAGGGAGTGGGCAGGGAGAAAAGGAAAACAATGAATGAATGGAAAGCCTAAAAAAAACCCAAAAAACAACAACAGCGAAAGAACCCAAAACCAGTTGTTAATAGGGTTGAGGAGAGTGAATAAGTTGAGAAGTTTCTATTTCATTTCCAAGAAGCCAACATGGCACCACAGAATAGAGGAAGGAGGGAAGAGTTAACCATATATTGTAAGCAAAAGTCTTTAATGCTATGTTATATCGCTACAACCACAAAGAAAGAAGAGCTCCCGGCTATTCTAGTGAACAAATCTCTAAGACAAATCGCTTAAGCCACCTCTCAAATTCGTTTGGACCTACCACAGTGTAATTCTCAAACAACAATTCAACCATCCCCACCACAGCCCAGATGCCCAGATGGGGAGCCAGATTTGCAAGTGGCATCTCACCCGTTTGTGGGAAGGCGCAGAGGCAGCTCACACACAGCCAGTTGCACCTGCTTGTCACCAACTCCACCCCTTGGGAAATGCTCAGCTTCCCATTTCAAAGGCCCCTCATTTCTCATGTTCCAGAAGCCAAACTCAGCAGCAGGTGGAATGAGGGACAAGTCGGTAAACAATCTCCCTCTTTATTGTGTTTCTAACACTGACTAGGCCCAGAGCTTTTAAAAATCTCTGACTCGCTCACCTGAATACAGTTCCTCTTCAGTCTTAAGGAGCCCTGGTGGCAGAATAGGTTAAGTGTTTTACCTCTAATCAAAAAAGCTGGCAGTTCTAACCCACTAGCCGCTTCCCAGGAGAAAATAAGGGCCATCTGCTTCCATTAAGATTTAGAGCTTCAGAAATCTAATGGGTGGTTCACATAAGATGCAGCTACGGACCTATTTTAGAGGTGCAGGGGGAGAAGATGGTAGAGACAAACCATTTCACTTAATAAGATGCAGCACTAACCCCATAGGGCAATTCTACCCTAACTTACAGGGTCACTGTGAGTTGGAACAGTGGTGGGTTCTTAGAGAAAAACCCGGATTCTCAAGTCAGACCTTCTAGGTTCAAGCCCCAAGTCTGCAGCTGGCCAGCTGTGTAATTTGGCCAAATTACCTGAGGCTCTGTGCTTTCTTTTTCTGGCATGTATTTTAAAAACTACGCATTTCAGCAAAGCCCAAGGTGCACAGAAGGTGTTGGTATCCTGTCAATTCCTGGCACCTTGTTTTTGGCCAACACAGTTGGTATCCTGTCAATTCCTGGCACCTTGTTTTTGGCCAACTGTGATGAACTTCAACAAACACACTGCTGAAACCAAATGAGATGCTTCAAAAATGCAGGGCTGAAAGTGCTCACTGAGATTTAGAAGCCAATCAACTAGAAGAGAGTCAACCAAAGAAATTCCTAATAAATCACTGACAATGTCAATCTTTGCTCTTTTTCTTATCATGATGTTGTCTAGAAGTCTAGTAGTGGAGGTATTTGTTTTATGATGAGGTGTAATTCACATTTAAGACTATATGAATAAAAATCAACAGGAGTCCTCTACAGTAATAAAGAGAACTCAGAGAAGGAAATCAAGAAAGCAATATCATTTACAATAGCCAGCCACAAACTGAGATACCTGGGAGTGAACCTAATTAGAGATACAAGACCTATACAAAGAAAAGTACAGAGCATTTCTGCAAGACACAATAAAAGACCTAAAGAAGTGGAAAAACATGTCCTATTCATGGATAGGAAGATTCAATATTGTGAAAATGATAATCCTACCAAAAGCAATCTACATGTTCAATGCAATCCCAATCAAGATACCAAATTCATTTTTGAAGGAGCTTGAAAGGGAAATTATCAAATTTATTTGGAGAGGCAAGAGACCCTGAATAAGCAAAACACTTCTGAGAAACAGAAATGAGGTTAGAGGCACAGCACTCCCTGACTTCAAAACCTTCTACACAGCAGTAGTAACCAAAACAGCATGGTACTGGTACAATGATAGGCACACAGACCAATGGAACAGAATTGAGAACCCAGAAATAGACCCAGCTATCTATGGTCAACTGATATTTTACAAGGAGACCAAAGTTATCAAATGGAGAAATGAAAACCTCTTCAACAAACGGGGCTGGCAAAACTGGACTTCCACCTGGGAAAGCTGAAACAGGATCCACATCTCATACCATACACAAAAATCAACTCAAGGTGGATCACAGACCTGGGAGTAAAGTCCAAAACCATAATGTTCTTAAAAGACAAACTGTGATCAAGCTTAGAAGCACTAGTCCAAGGCATAAAGAGACGGCCAAATACAACCAGAAATGCACAATCTAAAGAGGATAAAATTGATGCATGGGACCTTCTAATGATTAAATCCATGTGTGCATCAAAAACTTTTTTCAACAGAGTGAAAAGAAAACCTACAGACTGGGAACAAACATTAGGTAATTCCATCTCAGACAAGAGTCTTAAAACAAAAGTTTACAGAAAACTCCTGGGTCTCCACAAGAAAAAGACTGATAACCCAATTACAAAATGGGAAAAAGACATGGAAAGATTTTTCACAGAGGAAGGTATTTGAACGGCAAACAGATACATGAAGAAATGCTCCAAATCACTGACAATAAAGGAGATGCAAATCAAAACCACAATGAGGTGAGGTACCATCTCACTCCAGTAACAGTGGCAAAGTTTAACAGGGCAGCAAGTCATAAATGTTGGAGAAGACGTGACAAGAAAGGAACTCTTACATATTGCTGGTGGGATTGTAAAATGATACAACCACCCTGGAAGGCAGTTTGGCGCTTCCTCAAAAAGCTGAACATAGAAATTCCATGTGACTCAACTACTCCACTACTTGGAATATACCCTAAGAAAATGAGAACTGAGGCACAACTGAGATTTTTACACCAATGCTCATAACAGAATTATTCACCATTACAAGAACATGGAAACAGTCCAACTGTCCAACCACAAACAAATGGATTGAGAAATTATGGTACATTCACACAATGGAATACTATGCAGCACGCAGGAGCAATGATTTTCTAAATTATTACCTAACTTGGGAAAGACTGGAGAGCATTATGCTGAGTGAACTAACTCAGTCCCACAAGGATAAATACTGTATAAGACCGTTATTGTAGAATGAGTATAAGGATCCAGGAGGGGTGGGAGAGGCTCAAAGCAGAAGGATAAGAATAGCAGGGGCAAGGGGGGGGGGATTAATTATCAAGTTGTACAATTTGATGGAGGAAGGGGAAGGAATTTGAAAGAATTGTTCTTGAAAACAATGTATTTGAATTTTACAAATAAACTAGTAGAAAACTTTTTTTTAAAAAAAAAAAAAGACTATATGCATAGTATCCCAATGTGTGTATACAGAAGTACATTTATGTGAGCTGTGGTTGTTATGTGACACGCAGTTAAGTGCGACTCATAGTAACTCTATGCACAGTAGCTCAACTCTGCCTTATCCCGAGTCAATCTCATTGCCTATGGCAGATCTACCCCCATTACCCAGTTACTGTCTCCATCCATCTCATTCAAGTTTTCCTCTCCTGCACTGTCCCTCTACCCTTCCAAGCATCATTGTGTGATTGAATTGCCTCTGAAAACCCACTAAAGAGTCAGTTTGGCAAGCAACAAATGCTTGCGAGGTTGTGGAGAAACTGGAACCCTTATTCACTGTTGGTGGGAGTGTAAAATGGTGCAACCACTGTGGAAGGCGGTATGGCACTTTCTCAAAAAGTTGCAAATAGAGATACATTTGACCCAGCAATTCCACTATTGGGAATATACCCTAAAGAGACCATGACTGACATCCAAGTAGATGTCACCCATGTTTGTTCACAATAGCAAGGAGTTGGAAACAACCCAGGTGCCCATCAACAAACAAATGGATAGAGAAGCTGTGGTATATTCACACACAATGGAATACTATACTGCATTGAAAAACAAGGAATTCATGCAATATTACTCAAAATGGGTGAGCCTGGAGGACATTATGCTGAGTGAAATAGCTCAGTCGCAAAAGGACAAATACGGCATGATGCCACTGCTGTAAAATGGGACTGATATCAGGTTTGGGGTAAAACTGAGAAAAACTGGATAAATTGTGTATACTGCACTGAAACAGATGGGGGAGAGAATAATTTAAAAGCGATGTATGATAGGGTATTATGGTTATCTCAAGAGTCCACAATTAAGGTTGCATAGTGGAATTTACTTGGGGTGGTGGGAGGGGT